GAAAATAGTAAAGCCAATTCAGTTAAAACAATTTTTACTGGAGAATATGACCAGGGATTATAAATCCAAAGGTAAAATACATATACACTTGATTATTCCGACGATTCTTTTACACTACACACACATATATTTTCCAATAACAGTAATAATAATAACAATAATATATTATTATTATTATTATTATTATTATTATATTAAAGGTGTTTCTTGGGTTGTAATTGGTGATGAAAATTATGGTGAGAGGTCTTCTCGTGAACATGCAGCACTTGAGGTCTGTCATCTAGGTGGTATTGCTGTGGTTGTTAAAATCATTTGTAAGAATTCATGAAACCAGTTTGAAGAAACAAGGAGTTTTACCTCTTACATTTTTTGATCCTTCAGATTATGATAAGATTGATCCAATTGATAAAATATCAATTATAGGACTTACTGAATTTGCCCCCGAAAACCCTTGACACTTAAAGTTCATAAAAAATCTGGCAAAACACTAGATTTAAAAGTTAATCATACATTTAATGAAAACCAAATTCAATGGTTCTACTTTAACTCTCCATTTAGATCCAAATTGCCACAATGCTTGCAAGTGAATGCTAGTATTAATTTCAATTAATTTTCTGTGGTTCAATTTTCCAGATGTATTTTATCATTATCTAACTTATTCGCAGTGTGTTGTTTCTAGCTTCCGATCTGCTTGATATAATTCAAGTTTGATACCAAAAGAACTTGAGAACTTTTAGGTGATGAAGGTAATCTGTTAGGACGAATATAAATACCTTTTTGAACACTTTCTTCTACCACTCTATAAAAAATAACAGTGAGAATATTTATGTATATATGAATAATTTTTTACACAATTGGGTGAATAAATTTTTATTTTTAATCTTATTAATAAAATTTCTAGACAAAAGTCGGGCGCATTTTCAAACAAAAATTGCGCGAAAACACCAAAATTGACTATTTTTTTCATCAAAAAAATGATTGTTGAAAAATGCACATAATAATCATGCCCAAAAATTTAAAATTCGATAAACAAAGTAAATAACAATATTAATATCTTGTTGGCCATCCATTATTTTCAATGACTGCTTCAACTCTCCCTCAATCAATTTAATTAGGACATCATTTGTTATCAATGTAATTTTGAATAGTACGAGTCACTGTTTTCCTATGAACACCAACAATTTTAGTTATTTTGTGGTTTGGT